TTAAATCCTGCCCCTCTGCTTTCCATAAATAATTGCCGGTGAAAATGGAGTAGATTCCCCAGTGGCTCAGACCAGAACAAGTTTCATTTCTCGATTATCCGGATCGACGGAGGGTTCTTGCATATTTTCTATGCACGTCTCCTCACGAATAATTGAGCGACCGTCCCCTCCTTCCATCCAGGAAAGTTCAAAGAAGAGTAGCACCCCGAGGTGCTTGCTAATGCTGATTAACGACGGACCCGTAATTTATTCCTCGTAGTTCGCATCCACATTGCGTTTTAATCAAGCTTAATGGGGTTCTTTGGATCCACGCATTGCATAATGTCCGAACGTTATGAATTGAATTCAAAAAGACATCGCCTCGAGTATAAGATAATAATATATCCTTATTATTATACATAAGAATAATTCTTATTGTGTTTGATATATTAAATTCTAAGCAATAATAAACGCGACGTAAAATGCTGGTCGCAACAAAGTGACAGCTATCAGCTGATATGATGTGTGTGCGCGCGTATCCATCCGTATTTAAAAAAATTAAATTAGTAAACTAAAAGAAAACATAAATTATATAAGATATTAATAATAATTCTTATTGTGCAATTTGATATATTAAATTGTAAGCAATAATAAACGCGACGTAAAACACTGGTCGCAACAAAGTGACAGCTATCAGCTGATATGATGTGTGTGCGCGCGTATCCATTCGTATTTAAAAAAATTAAATTAGTAAACTAAAAGAAAACATAAATTATATGAGATATTAATGATAATTCTTATTGTGCAATTTGATATATTAAATTGTAAGCAATAATAAACGCGACGTAAAACACTGGTCGCAACAAAGTGACAGCTATCAGCTGATATGATGTGTGTGCGCGCGTATCCATTCGAGTAAACTAAAAGAAAACATAAATTATATGATATTAATAATAATTCTTATTGTGTGATATATTAATTGTAAGCAATAATAAACGCGACGTAAAACACTGGTCGCAACAAAGTGACAGCTATCAGCATGCGCGCGTATCCATTCGTATTAAAAAAATTAAATTAGTAAACTAAAAGAAAACATAAATTATATGAGATATTAATAATAATTCTTATTGTGCAATTTGATATATTAAATTGTAAGCAATAATAAACGCGACGTAAAACACTGGTCGCAACAAAGTGACAGCTATCAGCTGATATGATGTGTGTGTATGTGTGTGCGCGCGTATCCATCCGTATTTAAAAAAATTAAATTAGTAAATTAAAAGAAAACATAAATTATATATGAGATATTAATTAATACAAACTAATTAAAAAAAACAAGATAATATTAAGATCGAAATAACACAAAAAGGTGGAAATAATAGATAAGTAGAAATGACAGATAAGAGTGAGAAGTCATTTACATCATAAAGAAGATCATAGAATAACATAAAATTATGAGTAATGTAAAAAGCCGTTGCAGTTCTAAAAAAGAAAAAAGATGAAAGAAAGAGGAAATTGAAATATTTCACGGATAAATAGAAAAAGAAACTTCGAAATAAACCACATCAACATAATCAAATAAGGACAGAATAAGAAATTGCGTGACAAGAAATTTTTAAGATAAGAATAGAACATGACAGGGGATAGAACATTCGGAAAATAAGGCATTTGGCATTTAACTAACAATAAAACGTGACGTTCAAAAGACCAAAAAGAATCAATATGCAAACTAAGAATCTTAATATTATCGTAAAAATCAATAAGAACATTATGTGAAAGAAAATGTCAAAAGGTTGAAGACGAGATACGCGCGCTCGAAGAGAGGAAAATCAATTTATTTTAAGGAGAACGATTTGAGTTGATTGTCCCTTAATTATAGTAACTAGATATTATATGTTATTTATGAAAATTTCTCTCGAGAGAAATATCTGTCCTACTAAGAAATGTTTTTATAGAAGTTATTTATAGATATATAATTTTTATTATCAATATTATCTAATTAATAATTTATAAAAATAATATAAAAATATTCTCTCTCTCTCTCATGATAAAAATATATTGATTCCATTCATTAAAAATGTATGTGTATGCGTATATATAGCTAATTTAAAGATATATATATAATAAACTAAATAATTATTTAAAGCTCTAATTCATTCATATTATAATATAGAATGGTTTGGAATTTGAGTTATCTATTCATAGCATTAAAATATTTTTCATAGTTAGTTTGGTAAATATAACTTCAAGTTTTAAAAATGTAAGCTACCTAGTTGCAATACGGAAGTGACGATATGTTTCAATGTTTCCTTGCAAAACATGTGTGTATGAAAGAACAGTATTATCAAAGAGAAAATTTTGCACGCGTTATTTGCTTTTTCTTTTCATCAAATCCTTCATTTCCCGTTCGCGTAAATACGGATCGCAGTGAGTTGTAGACTCCGAGTGCACGTAGAAATGACTATGCATTTGCGCATACAACATCGTATCTAGAAACAAGGATGGCGCCAAGTTTCTAGAAACGTAGAATAGATGTTTGTGATTAATATATATGCGGGTTGCATGTTCTGTAGCTATCTCTTTCAACTTGAGAACCCTCTTACTTATCTAAAGTAAATTTCTTAGCAGAGTTCGGTTCAGAAAACCGTCTTTTTCGTGATTTTTTAATCGTCAACGTTAAATACTTGCTAACTAAATCCCCTTAAATTAAAAAAAAAAATAAAAATAGCTCTAGCTATTTCAAAAACCTTATAATTTTAATTGCTGATAATTCAGAATTATTAATATTATCAATTAACTAAAAATCACTTTTATATCACTGAATTTAAAAAACCTATTTCAGTGTTTAAAGCAGCGCAAGATTTTTTATTTTCTAGCATGAATCCACTGCTAGAATATTTCTATGATATATTTGTCTTTATTATTTTTTATATTAAGAAATTAATAATAACACATAGCAGGCTTGGCACACGGAGCGATTTCCCGAAACAATTATCTCGATAAAGATGTTCCTTGCACGGGCAAACATCTGGTCGATAAGAAACGGAAGCTAAAGTTATCCGGACAAAACAACGGACACGAGAGCGTCACTTTGCTGACGGCAAAAACTGTCACGAGACATCTGCAAAGTCGCTTGTGTGCATGCATTTACAACTTGCGTTGCAAAGATGCTGGATAGAGACGAGAATAATATCTCGTGATAAAAACATATGTTTCGTCATAATTCACGAATAATTAAAAATATAAATGTTTACTTACTTTTTGATCAAAGCTTCTTCCTCAGAAAATATAATTCAACAAAACTAGATACATATATACAAGAATTCACACTTAAAATAATATAATATACAAAATCGCAAAGTTAACAAGCCACGTTTTGTCGACCTTAATAATAGATAATATTTAATTTTTTTTTTTTTACGTTAATAAATTTAATATTATTGAGTATCGTATATCCGATACTTCGTAATAATATCTTTATGGTAAAATACTGATCGTGAGACGTAATACTTCAAGATATCTATACAAGCTTAATGTTATCGCACTTGTGTGGAGATGCTTAGAGAGTCACCGTATATTCTCACGTTACAAGCACGAAATACAACGTAACCGATCCTACCGAGCATGTAAGATATACATACGGTACCGGTAACCGTCACATCTATTCACGATTTAATTGGTATCAGTTACGCCTTAACCATGTTAAGGATATAGGCAATGTGCTACGTATTTTAGCTCGATTCATTTAGCATCTTGATTAATTACCTGCAAGCTTTACATTCCGAACGGTTTATGCTTTAAAGAAGCATGTATTTATCGAGCTAAGAAAAGGGTATATGAAGCTGGCGTCTCATTTCGATATCTATAGATATAGGTGTCCGATTTTCTTTAATTTAATTTACTTAATATTTTTTATTTTTAAAAGGCAGAACTCTTCATAAAACTGATAAATTTTTTAATCTTGATAATTACTAATAAGGAAAATGCCATAAGACAACGTGAAGGTGGCGAAACATTTTCGTTGCTTTAATGATCAGGACTATTTGTTTAAATTACAAGAACTTTAGAATTATTAAAAATAAAGCTACAATAATTCATTATAATAATTATCTTAATTATTTATTTTCACGAAATGAGACGCTTCATGCACTCCCCTTTACCACAATAGAAATATGTTATAAAACAATTTCTCACTCACCAATACGTGCGAGAGCAGAAAACACAGCACGTTGATTGATCTGAAAACAAAACATTCAAATTATTTATATACATGTGTATATGTACGAGGTGTTTTAAAAGTCTGAAAACGATGCAGTTGAAAAAAAATATTTTTATTTTGCATACCTTATAGTTGTCTCGCTGTCGCCCGATGCCTCCTCGGACCTCCTCCTCCTCTCTTGGTAGCACTCACGACATTCGCGAAAACACGAATAATTACGATCGCCCGACACTTTACACGGCACTCCCGATCCGTGAAACTTTACACGGCACTCCCGACGTGCGAAATTTTGCACGGCACTCCCGATGCGCGTATTTCGCGTAAATTGTACAATGTCTGTGAACAAATAAATTACATAAATATTAGAATGATCTTATTATTTCGCATTATAACATACACGATATAAATATGTAAGTTAGAATTAATGCAATGGATATATCCACGAGTTGAATTACATAAGAGACTTTTCTATAGTTATTCTATTTTCTAAAAATTTACACATCTTCTCAATAACATTTCTTTCGAAAAACATGATTTTTGTTTAAATATCTCTTTAAAGGTCGAGAAAAAATTTGTACATTTTTTTAAAAAATGTGTCCATATTAATTACTTTGAAATAATTTATTGTACATTAGTAGGTATTTCCCTATATAGATATATATTTTGCATACCTCACAATTGTCCTGCTGTCGCCTGATGCCTCCCTGGGCCTCCTCCTCCTCTCTTGATCCTTCGTAGCACTCGCGAAAACACGAATAATTACGATCGCCCGACACTTTACACGGCACTCCCGATCCGTGAAACTTTACGCGGCACTCCCGACGCGCGAAACTTTACACGGCACTCCCGACGCGTATCGCACGCGTATTTCGTGTACATTGTACCTGTGAACAAATAAAATACATACATATATTAAAACAATCTTATTTCAATATCCGTAGTTGTAGGTATAGTTAATATTTTTTTGCTTTTATAAGGCAGAACTCTTTTTAAAATTCATATAAAACTATAAATTTAATAATTATTTTTTTTAAAGATTATTTCTTAATTATTTATAAGTTTTACTATTTTTTACATGCAGTATATACATATACAATTTCTTAAAACTTTTAATTTAAAATTAAAAGAAAATTAAAAAATTGATAAGAGAAAAAATAACACTCAAGAAGTTGTCATTGGTTTCTTTATAATAAAGTTAATTGAAACGTGTATTATCGACAAAAAGTATATCACATCTACTTGTTCACTTCCGTGAATGATGGAAAAATAAGCGAAATTCTTTCAAGAGATATAATCGGTTGTTTTCTTAACTACGTTATGGAATATAATAGAATAATTATTTCCCTTAAAAAAACAGAATATTATTTTTCCGACAAATATAACTTTAATTATATCGAGAAAATATTTACCCCTAGAACGAAAAAAAACTTTTGTTCGCGGACTTTCCTTTTTCCCAACCGATTAATTTCTCCTTATAATTGCGTCGGCTTTTCGGCATTCGCGTATAAATCTCCGTCACGAACAGTTTTTCTCGATTCTTTCTCACGTTTGTTTTCTCATCTCATGTAATGCCATCTTAATTCAGTTCGTATTCAAGGTAAAAGAGAAAATCGAATTCATAAAAAAGGAGACGAATTAATATCAGAATTGATAGTAATCTTTAGAGTACGCAAAATCCACTTAACTAAAAATCTAATTATATAAGATAAAAACGTAATTGCAATTTATTATAAACTATAAAATAGATTATATAGCTCTTTAAATAAAAAAAGAAATAAAATATACATTCCATCTAATTTTATCTTATTTGCATAAATATTTTAGATCTTGTATTTTGTCGTTGGCAAAGCAACTCAAAGAGAGAGAAAGACAGATAATATCGAGATATCCGCCATAAGGGAATCAGCATAATGGATAGCGCGGTAAAAGCATACTCGAATGTACGGTACAATCGCGAGGAATAGGGAGATTCAAAGAGAAGAATCGCCGGAAGGGAATGGAAGGAATTCGCTGCTGTAGAGACCGACCGATCGACCACGATGGACCATTTTTATCTTTCCATCCCCGAAACATTTGACTTTCTTTATTTGATTTAACCAAGCTTATTTTTTCCATCATTTTTAACAAAAACAAAAAATGTAGAAAATGTCACATGTCTAGATTCAATTATTATCGAATAAAATAATATAAATATTAATACTTAAAAAATATATTAAGAATTATTTTTATTAAAATTATTATTTACTCAAAGAATTTTTCAAAACATGTACAATACTTTAGAAAAATATATACATTCATCTGTATTTTTATTTTATCACTTCCATTACTCCAATTTTTTAATTGAAAAAAGCTATTGTTTCTAAAATATCTTATAAAAATATTCAATTTAAAAAATAATTCTATATAAACTACATTTTATAGGAATAAACAAATTTTATGCATACACATATATTGCAAAATTAACATTACGAAAATAATAGTTGCAGATCTATATTCAAAAAAGTAATGTGAGAATCACATGCGCGGTTTTATTTTTCGTTTCCTTCTATATCATTCATATTTAAAACGTTATACGAGTACAATGTGCATTATGCAAACTCCAATTTTCATATTTTCCTCTCTTCCGTATCATTTCATTGCTCATCAACAGATATGACGGTAATTCAAGTGTAATACATACACTTATTACGTGGACATAACGTTAAACTGGTTTACCGGTATAATTAGCATTTCATTGTCATCAAATTACACTTTTCGCAGTGCCGACGTGGCGCAATTACATACGTGCTGTTACGTAATACGAGATACTCATATCAATTATCCTTTGTGGTATCGACAATGCGCGTAGATATATGTGCGTTTATCATTCCTCAAATTTGCAATTAATCGTGATGTGATTAATGTCAGGATTCGCCAATGCATTTTGTTAAAATTACGGCACTATTCTAAATACAATCATAATTAAGATAAAAAATATACAGTTGAAAGAGAACTTTATCTTTACGAACAAAAACTTTCTAGAAAAAAGCATTTTAATATGGGCAACTCTTGAAAATCTTCATTTAAAAATTTTCCCAACTCTTCACGTATATTAAGATTAGTAGCATGCATTTCTCAAAAGTGTATATTGTTTAATATATGCATTTAATATAATTCTTTCTTTCTTTCTTTCTCTCTCTCTCTCTCTCCTTTTTATTGTTCACTAATCCGTCTCTTTATTTGTGCTGTTAGTTATTTTACGTCTTTAGTCTTTGTATATTTATAATTTTCTTTTTTACAGTACCATGTGTTGAAACAAAAATAATTCGAGGACATTGCATTCTTTTCTCCTTTTTATTGTTCACTAATTTCTCTTTATTTGCGCTTTCAGTCTTTTGTCTTTACGAACGTCTTTAGTCTCATTTATAATTTTTTTTCAGTTCCGGGGAAAAATGTTTTATATATAACAATATAAAATTATATAGAAATATATAAAATTATTTTATAGTTTCATATATAATTTGACATAATTATATATGAACCCTTATAATTTAAATATAAATTTATATAATTATGTATATAAAAATGGACACATTTCACGTATAATTTTACGATGATATGTATATATAATTGTACAATTATTTCTATACAATTATATATAAAAAATTGTTGTCCGAGGTACCATGTGTGTTGAAAGAAAAATAATTCGAGGACGCTGCAAAGTTTGCAAAGCTGCGTTTGGCAGCTGCACTCGCAAATGCACAAGGGCATACATTAATTAATTAAATTATAAACGAGCTCATTCATACATGAGAAAGGGAAACAGAGGGTTGGAAAGAGGGATTCGTGGCAACGCGATATTTCGCGGCAACGTTGATGCAACAGTACGACGCGCGAGTATCTACATAAATTAATTGTGTGAGATACGCACATGTGATGCGTAATGGGCCACGCACACCGCACGCACGGCCTGCATAATAATTGCACGTACATAAACGGGATAGGAGGAGGAGATGAAACCCGGATATAACGCTCGAGTATCGTTTGCTTTACCTACAAACGCGCGTTTGCCGACGGTAATCGTTATCTAATGAAACAGTCGGCCGGCAAATAGAGTTGGATTGAATTTACTGTTACCGCTACACGTGGCCGGAATTTACCGATGGACGCCTAAAATCAATAGAGTCTATTTAACGTTACTTTACAGTTCATGCTGACATTTCAAACCCGGAATATTTGCAGTTGCGCGCTTCTAACTCGTCTCCCTCGTGGCTTTCGACGTTTGATCGTGTCAATTTTATCTTTTGCCCACAGCCGCACGTATATGTCTATCTATAGTCTATGCAAAAGTGTTTAACTTATCCCGCCACTTTGTTTGGCTATTTCCCATTTGATTGTTGCTCCTAATAATATCAAAAAAATATTTTATTTTTGTGTAGCGCATTCAACAGTATTATATTTAAAATAGGAACGATATATTTAATTCGACCCAAACTAGCCAAGAATTTTTATTTTATTTCCACAACGTTTCGACCATCTGTTTTTGGTCCTTTTCAAGTGAAAAATTCCTTGATAAAAGCGCAGTTAGTTGACACTCTGTCATGATTATTAAATAATATGATCATCGGAATTTTTAAAAACATTTGAAATAACTTTGGAAGGACCAAAAACAGATGGTCGAAACGTTGTGGAAATAAAATAAAAATTCTTGGCTAGTTTGGGTCGAATTAAATATATCGTTCCTATTTTAAATACCACTAGCGACGTTTTAAGTATTCAATTTGAGTATTATATTTATCGCACCATAAGCTGGATGAAAAAAGGCTCGTCATGAGCGTAGAAAATTTTCTGACCATCTTTATTTTACTTTTTATCGCCTTCATAATATCGTATTTACGCGGGACCGATGATATTTCACTGGCAGCTACCTTGCGGAGCTTCGGTTTATCTTATTGAGGTTAAATAGAAAAAAGGAAGATGAGAGCAAGAACTTAGAGAAAAGCAAAACGAGAAATCGAGAAGCACGAAGTGAGCCTATCAACGGAAAAAGAAAGAATATACACCAAGAAATTGCAGCAGAGCGACATAAAAAAACTGGAATAAATAAGGTGACAAATCAGTTTTTCTTCCCAGGAAAAATTTTTTATATATAATTATATAGAAATAATTGTATAATTATACATATAATTGTAAAATTATATGTGAAATATGTCCATTTTTATATATAATTATATACATGAAGAAATATTATATATATATATATATATATATACTTATATATATATATAAAAAATATTTCACATATAATTTTGCGATTATATGTATAATTTTATATATTTCTATATAATTTTATAAGTATTGTTACATATACAAATTTTTTTCCCGAGTTCACTAAACGAATTATGGAATAAATAATTTATAATTCGCACAAAGTCTAATTCTTTTACATAATTTTCATAGTTAAAGCAGACTGCAAATGACGGATTTACTTAATCTTTACATAAGTCGTTCGAATTGTCACCTTTACGCCTTACTCCGAAGAAACTGAAAGGTCGGTTAGCCGAAAGGATCCCTAAGGATATTTGTTTAAGCACTGAGACCGCAGAGTTTCCCACAATTTCCCGTGGAATTTACGCTTTCGAGAGCTCTCGTATATTTTCACAACACGTCATCTTCCGCGCTTCAAGCTTGCGATTGAAATTTCCGAAAATTTCCACACCAGATGTGTGACACATAAATCTCTGCATTCTTATTATATAAACCCAAAATATAAATTTATGAATCATTTTTTATCATATAAGATATCAATAAATAATTATCTGAAATTTTGAATAATTTCGAAACGTTTTGAAATTTATATTATGTTTTATATTAAGTTATATATATATTTCTAACGTTTCTTCTCAAATAAGAAAAATGGAGAACTAGCTACTAATTTATGGAAAATCATCTGCGGGATATAATATAAATTGTAATATTTTACACGTTTCTTTTTTCCACTCGCGTTTATGTAAATAACGTATACACAAGGAAGAAAAAGCTTATTAATACCTTTTTTGTACTGTAGTAAATGGAGATAATTAAAATTCTAAATAAGATATATCTTTCTCTCTCTATCTCCTCCGCATATATTTCATGCAGTTTATTATCCGTGTAGGAAAAAAATGAACAATACCCGGATGAAAAACCCGCCGACGTAATTTTGAGGTCCGCGATAAAATCCTGAAATATATATATAGATATACAGGGTGTCCCACAACTGGCAAAAAAGTTTTTAATGGCAGAATCCTGGTATTCGGAGACGATTTTTCCTCAGCAAAAATGTCGAGACATCAATAATTTTCAAATTATAAGCAGTTGAAAATAAAAACTTTTTAGGAAACTTAAGCCTTGTGGAAATAAAATATTATCAGAACTACATTATTCAGTTAATTTTAGGTAGAGTTTGCTTTAACAGAATAATTTTAATATAAGGCTTACAAGGGAAGTTAGGCAACCCGGAAATTCAACAAATTCTGAAACTTGGTGTACAAGTAGAATGATTTTTAGCTTCTCTCGTTTTATCTCGACAATTATTCAAGATATATAAAAAATCATTTTTGAGGATTAATAATTTTAAAAAATTATTTTTTCAAAATTTTATTACGTGGTTAGATAAAGGTTTTTTCGATTTTTTCTTTTCGAGAAAAACTAAAAACCATTCTACTTATGAAGGGTGTTTTCACCCTTCTTTCACAAAAATAGTTTTGTGTTATGAATAAACTATTCTACTTGTACATCAACTAACTTCCCTTATTAATTATAAAGACACATAATAACAAAAATTGGGAACATGCTAAAAACGATGGCTTCCCTCAACATTTTCACTAAGGAAAAATCGTCTCCGAATGATAGCAGGAATCTGCCATTAAAATGTTCTCTGGGACACCCTGTATGTGTGTATACATACATATATTAAACGCCGTTAGTGCGGCGCGTAATTGCCGAGTTGTTTTCGCGCCATAAAACTGGCAGTCGCGAGTCGCGAGAAATCACTCCTGCACCGAGAATAAACGAGCCGCGCCGTTGTTTCTCATTTCTTGATCGCGAACGTAGTCCGCGTTTAAAGTTCAGCGACGCGGAACTTCCGGCTCGACGAGTTATCCTCTCGCGTCACTCCACCCTCTTTTCCACCCTCCGGTAGTTGCCGAATCAAAAATACACGACGGCGGGCACCGACTAAACAACCCTTGGGTGTAGATTTATAGACGAGCGACACCCGTTGGGAAATCAGCCTCGTCTGTGCTTTCAGCGATCTAGCGAAAGAGCACGAAGAGTTTTCAACTTTTCATTGACGACGAGTATCGCCACATTGAAAGAGAAAGAAAGGGGAAAAAAGAGACGACGAGGGATTACGGATCCTGTCGATGTATTCTGTTCCGAGGACTCTTAATCTTTAACGATGGATAGAAACTTAATCTCCCTTTAGTTATATTCAAATGTAAATAATATAAAGCAGTTGAAATTTAAGAAATAATCTTCCTCTTTGTTTATTTTTTATTATAAAAAAACAGCATATAAATTATTATACATTTAGAAAAATATTGATAATATTTAGGGAAATAAATTATAAAATGTTTTGATGTCATTCATATAAATCATTGATATTACAAGTAATATGTTAATAGTGTATTAATAACGTTTGCTACGGTATTATAAATAATTATTAATAAAATCAAGAAGATAAATATAAAATTATATATAATATGTTGTAAGTTAAAACAAAAAAAATATATATTCTCAAAGTATCTTCAATATTTCAATTGTTTAAAATAAATATATATTACTAATATCTAATCTCTAATCTATTACTAATAATAAAATAGATATTACTAATATCTACCTTAAGAATATTATGTTATACTAAAATTTTACTCTCAATTCTATGTTAAATTAAAGAGAGAAAAAATTTCACAAATTAAATTAAAAATATTTATTTCTCTAAATATTATCATTATTTTTCTAAATGTATAATAATTTATATGCTGTTTATATATAATTAAAAATAAAAAAGGAAAAACATTATTTATGTTTATTTTTATTGTGTAATTATATATTAAAAAATTGTATATTTATTTTGACTTTATCTACGAATTACATGCATAATTAATCGACAAGATAACACGTTCTCGAAATTAACACAGCAAAGAGTAGGATGTTGAATCGACTTGAGGTATCTCATCACTACCTTTGGCCGACCAGCATTAAAGTTTCAAACTGCCATCGCATCCCTTGGGGGATAAAATGCCGCGAATGCGCGCTAGCTGCAATTTAACGCGTAACTCCTCGAATTTCAACCTTGCTAAAGTACCGGATGTTTTGTAACTTTTTATTTTATCGCTGCATCTGTTATTTATATGTAAACATAAAATCAACCCCATGCAACAAAAATTTTGCGATTTTTTATCTCGCATAATTGTCCCATTTTTGTATTTCTCCGCTACGCAGAATTACAAGTATATTAATAATTATAAAGTATTTTGATGTCATTCATATGAAAACTCTCATTAGAAATATATTCTCTGTTCCGAAAAAAATTTGAATGTTGGATTTATTTTTATATAAATAATGTTTCACATATATTTGCACACTTTAATTAATTAAAATAAAAAATTATCAAAAGTTGTAATCATCGTTCTGATGAAAGATCGAAAATAACAAATTTCATCAAAAGATATTGTAATTAAAAATGTATAATAAAATAACATTGTGAGTGTGAAAAAAAATTATAATTGAAAATAGAAAAAATATAATATTGCTAATTCCGTCTTTAATATCAAAAATAATTATTGTAAACTGTTTTTCGCCGTATGCGGCCACGTGAAAGATAGAGAGAGAAGAATCATGATAATAGTTATCGTAATGGTGAAATCATGACACTTGTTTGCACGTGCGTTCCTTAATTTCGCCCACAAATGAACATCACAACAAATATTACAGTGCAAAATGAAAAGATGAGAAAAGGGGAGAATGAGACAAGTGCGAGAAACACTTGCCAATTGTCTAATATCATTCCCGTAAACACGATCGTTTATTTTTACTCTTTCTGAAAAAAAAAAAAAGTTGTACTAAAAATAACCTCAGATAAAAAAATTTCCGTTCTAGTGTAATTAAAAAATAATTTTTCATATAAAAATAATAACATATTCGAGAATTATATTCTCAAGAAAATTAAAAATATATTAAACACAATTCTATTATTTACGTTAAAAAATGTCCAACACAAACATTATTATACATAATAAATTTCAAATTGAGAAATAGAATGATAAATTAATTCAATAAAAGATTTCTTTAAATATTTACGCATTTTTAAGAAATGCTCTTTTAAAATCAGTCATACAATATAATTCTAAAATCATTTTGGTTGCTTTAATTTAGTACAACATTTCTTTTTTACTATATTTTCCTTATAAAATTTCTTTTGCGTCTAAAAATATTTGATAATTTAATTCAATGAAAGATTTCTTTAAATATTTGCGCATTTTTAAGAAATGCTCTTTTAAAATCATGCAATATAATTCTAAAATCATTTTAGTACAACATTTCTCTTTCTTATATTTTCCTTCTAAAATCCCTTTCGCGTCTAAAAATATCTAAATTTATCTCAAGGTATCGATCTCTTTATATTTTCAGTGTTCCGGTACAGCTTCGGGCGATTTTTCGGAACGAGTAGCGGCGCTTCTACAATCATCCTCGACCCAGGACGACTGCTAGTAGTGCGCTCTACCATGTGTCAGCCCTTCTTTAATCCAGTACGTCAGCGAAAGGGAAAAAGAGGAGAGACAGGCGAAAGGAGAAGCGATCTAATGCTCCAAATAATTTTTGTCGAGCTAATCTGTAAGCTTTAAGACGCGCGTTTCGTGACACAGTGTCTCTACTTTATATAGATTTTAAGACATCGTTCTCTGTTTCGCGCGGATAATGTTACGGCACGACGACAACAGAATTTGTGCAAGTATCGAGACGAGTGATTGTCAGTGCAAAACGCGACCTTCGCGAGAGTTCGCGTAAAACGAAACGATCCCTCTTGAGACTCTTCTCTTTGCGTCACTTTCGCGAGGAAATGGATCCGGCTCGATAACGTTGCTCACAACTTCATTTTCATCGCTATAAATCGTATTTACGCAAAGCAACCCGCGAAACAATTTTTTATATATATAACAATATCAAATTATACATATAATCGCGAATTTATATATCAAATATATGCATACATAATTAGATAAAAGTACTTTTTTATATATAATTATATAAATTTATATATATATATATATGTATAATAAATAAGTATTTCTTCATATATATAAATATATATTTCATATATAATTTGACATGATTATATATGAACCTTTATAATTTATATATAAATTTATATAATTATGTATAAAAATAGACATATTTCACATATAATTTTACGATTATATGTATAATATTATACAATTATTTATATATAATTATATATACAAAATTTTTGCCCGGGAATTATAAAATATTAAATAATCTGTGTAGCAAAAATTAAATTTTTACTTTTGTATAAAAGTTAATATATTTAATTTTTTTCCAACTAGAATATAATTAAATAATATACATATAACAGAATCAGTTTTATATTTTATATTAGTTGTTAATGATATTTTATTTATAATTATAGAGCCATCATTTATCTTAAATTTGATATAACAAGAGAAAAGATCATATATTTCTTTAAAGACCTCTTGTGAAAAATATAATTAGTAGTTTACCTAACCCTTCGCTCTTACAATGGAAAAATAAAAATAAAAAAATTCTGTATTTTAATATAAACAACTATTTTGCGGTAATTCTCTTAAAATAAAATTTAATCGTGACATAACTAATACACGTATAAATAAATGTATCTTTATAAGAAGTAACGCAAGATCGGATAAAAATAAAAATAATATATCTGATCATACAGAGTTTTCTGTTGTCAGACGAGTGAATGAATGTACTAAATGTGTGTCTGCGTGTGCAGAAGTCGGAAAACGTAAGAGATAGTTTTGAACGAGCATGTGGGTGGGTAGGTGTCGGAATGGCAGTGTGATCTTTCTGGCGAGGGCGCAAGCATTAAATTTCCAGATAGCCCCGGCAAATAAGTGCCGCGTAGATAAGCGCGGAAAAACCGTGCCAACCCGCGGGGCTAGGGAACCGAATAGAAAAGAGGGAAAAGAAGGAAGCATCTAGGGATACTGGAAAAAAGCGAGAGAAGAGAGCCGCAGTGAAAACGGTTGCGATAATGGCGCGGAAATGGTGTCGGCATACGTTAGCGAACGAAAAGAAAAGAAAACGTCGAAATTACGAGTCACCCGGTATACGCGAGGGAGTTTCTCGGAATTAGAATTCTGATATTTTGAAAAAAAATCAGTACACCCAGTAAACAATTTTTTATATATAATTATATATAAATAATTGTATAATTATACATATAATTGTGAAATTATATGTGAAATATGTCCAGTTTTATACATTATTATATAAATTTACATGTATATAAATTATAAAGGTTCATGTATAATCATGTCAAATTATATATGAAACATATACATTTATATATATGTGAAGAAATATTATTATATATATAAAATAATATTATATATAAAAAGCACTTTTATCTAATTATGTATGGACATTGTATTTCATATATAATTTTACGATTATATGTATAATTTTATATATTTCTATATAATTTTATATTGTCATGTATATATAAAATTTTTTACCGGGCACGTGTTGCTACAATTGCAGAATTTACATCATCTTGGAGAGGATTATAATTATAGCACTATTACTTTTGATAAATAATATAATGAACCCGTAAATGCAGTAAAAATGAAGATGAGAAAAAACGACTTCTATCACTTATTTGTTAATACTGTATTAATAACGTTTGCTACGGTATTATAAATAATTATTAATAAAATCAAGAAGATAAATACGAAAAAATATATTCTCAAAATATCTTCAATATTTTAATTGTTTAAAATAAAAATCGGGATTTATAAAAAAAAGAGGAAGAGTAAATTTTTTAATATTTTCAAATTTTCAAAATTCATTCTTTCTCTAACTTTTTTTTCGTAAATCCCGATTTTTATTTTAAATAACTGAAATATTGATGATATTTTGAGAATATATTTTTTTTGTTTTAGCTTGCAAAATATTAAGTATATTTTCGTATTTATCTTTTTGATTTTAATAAATTTTTTAATATTTTCAAATTTTTAAAATTCATTCAAATAATAATTTTCGATTGTAACTCGAATTTTGTCTTTTTTTGTGGGGATTGTTACCATCTTCGATTGTACTGTAATACTTGCAATGACGGATGCACCCAGCCATTTCACGTTCTATATATTGAATTCCGTGCAACGAGATCTATATGAATTGACGCCGTTACAGATGTCACGTATATGTATATAAAAGTATGAATATTCACGAAAAATATACGGAGGTTCGAACACCGCGAATATCGATATCCAAGATTGCTTAACCGCGAGTGAAGCGTGAAATATTTAAATCCACGTCCCGAAATGTTCTGAAAACCACATCGGCATTTGCATGACGTGTTTCATCAGTGGCTTCGACAGACCCCAAAGATTTTGAATCAAAAGTAAAAAATATATATATAAAACCACAATTTACACGTATTTATAATTCAAATTTGAAAAATATAAATATATATATATATATAATTTTTTTTATAACAAATAAAAGATTTCATGTATAATTTTATGTAATATTTATTCGTTATAAACTACAATATTATATATGTATATATATATATATATATAAAATTAAAAATCTAACTATATTTTTTAAGTAAAATTACTTAATCTCAAAAAAATGTTATTCAAAAGTGTTTTCAAAATTTGACACGTCTCGCAATAACCCAGTTGATTATAACAGATTAAATTCCTTTTCGCATTTCAGAAATATAACCGATGCCGCGAAGTCTATGACAAAACAGAATTGTACTATTACTCGAGTGACTCATACGTCATAATTAATCACGTCGCAGTCAGCCACTATCGTTTTATTGGATCCGTTACACGCTATGCCTGCTCCATAATGACATTTGGAGTTTCCGTGTGCAAAACTAGGTTGGGCGTGAATCACAAACGTGAAAACAAACGGCAAAAGTACTTAGTTAAATTGTTTGTGATTTGCCTTATGGCTAGAATTATAAGTTACGGCCTTATTATTTTGATTTGCTGTGATAAAGCTCAAATTTTCATAGCAATTATAATCGTTGCATTCATCATAATTTCAATGATGCCTAAATCGTAATATTGTCATAATAATTTAAAACATGTAAGTAAAAACTTATTACAAAAAATCAATTTGTCTATTAATTAAAGAATTTTTTAAAAATCTCAAAAATAAGAAATTCAAATAATGATCAAAAGATATTATACTTCTTATATATATTTTTTTTTGTTTCATGGCACAAGAAAAGTATTTTTATAATTTAAATAGAAAAACGATAAGAGCCTCTCGGAGTTTTAGTTTCGAATAGTTTAAATTGATATAATGGGCTAATTGGTAAACATTGAACGCTTCAGACTCTACTTCGCTGATTCGCGCGGAAAATCAAGTGATAGCGATCGATTTTGTTCCGACATAAAGAACGAAGCAGCGCTTTCTTCGCTACTTTCCACAGGGTATCGCATAGCACCATTATTCTCAGGAATATTTTGCAAAACGTTGAAATAAACCTGATCGATTTTCGATTAAATTCTTGACGATGAAAAGACAATGCGAGAACGAACGGCCAGAGTTGCTCTTTTTTCTCTCCCTCTTTCTTTGTTTCAAAGTTTGATTTTCCTTTCTGATAAATGCAGAACCGCGAATCGTATAAATCTGCGGCAACATTTCAACGTGAACGAGAATACTATTATAAATAAAGTCTGTCATTCAACTAAGCTCTTAATCGGCCATCTGACATAAGCGTTAAGTAGCTTTAAAGGTATATTCTAAATATATCGCAGTATTATTTTATCCATTATGCTAGTCATTCTTGAGAATCTGTACAGATTCTCCGATCAAATATTGATAGTATCATCGTATAACAAAGACATCATTTTTAGATTGTCCAGCAGACTCAATGAAAAAAATTCCCTGACTTTTTCAGATTTTCCAAGTCCAGCAATTTATTTTTTCCCTGACTTTTTAGTATTATTTTTTCCAAATATATAATTTGCATATATCTATATGATAAATCATGAAATCTTTGAGATATTTTTGTCAACAATGAAAAGGTTCGAAAGTTAAAACAAAAATTTAAATCAATTGTACAATCTGCATTATGTACGATAATCGAAACAAACATGTCACTATAAACTCTTTAAATCACCTTTTTTATTTATATTATATCAATTTTTTATTTTGTCTCTTTTAAATACATTGAAATAAAATAACACGACGATGAAAATATAAATTAACAAACACGCTGTAGATGAATCGATTTTTAACAACACAGAAAATTAGCGTGCTGAGAGTCAAGTTTATATTTATTTAATAAAAAATTTCACATTATTGAGATAAATGTAGAATAATGTGAAAAAATCCAGATAAATAGTAAAATTTTCCTTACTCCCTGACAATTCCAGATTTATAAAATTCCCTGACAATGCCCGGTTTTTCAGATTTTCCTGACCCCCTGATTATGTTAATCATTCTTAAGAATCTGTACAGATTCTCCGATCAAATATTGACAGTATCATCGTATAACAAAGACATAATTTTGCAAAAGTTGTTTTGAGCAAAGTCGTAATTTGTAACAATGCTTCTGATTACAAGCCGCCAAAAAACCGTGATATTCCAAAGCTAGTAATACTAGTCGTATCGGCGCTCTTTTATCAGAATTGCATAAATAATGCCGATACAAATAAATGTTTGCAATAAAAATAGAAAGAAGATGAGAAAGAGACATATCTAAAGCTGTTTCCTTCTCAATTTTGCGCTAACGAAGTAAACTTAACATGTTTTATTTTAAAACACAGAACTCCAACGCAATATAAAGACCGAATACCAGTCGGTTGCGTGCAGTAGTTTCGCGTCGTGGCTAGTAGTAACGATATTTATCTGGCCGGCCGCAACAACCCGCATTATTAATGCTTCCATATCGACCGCGGCTGCAAATTCAACCACGGATTATAGACGCGTAC